ATTAACACCAAATAAACAATTGGATTACATTCCAAGGCCTACTAACCATAATTAGGGTAAATTGACCATTTTACCCCTGACCCAAACAAGAACCAGAACTGAGGCCCAACCTCAATAACCAAGAAGGCCCAAAACTAAACGATCCTAAAGGCCCACTAATGGCCCAATTTTCGAAATTAGGCCCAATCCCATATGGGCCTTATCCTAAGCTCATACTTCCCTTAATTACAATTTAAAATACCTCAATTACCTCTTGGGACAAACTCGCTCAAAATCATAAATCAAAAGCCAAAGTCAACGGTCCAAGTTGACCCAACTCACCGAGTTTTCCTTAAACTCATTGAGTTTCTTCATGAGACTACAAAGATCGGGCAAAACCCCATCAACTCGCCGAGTTCACTCATGAACTCGCCAAGTTCGCCAGAAACCCAACCTCTTAATTCATTAAGCCAACCTTTTCAAAACTAAAGGCTTCTCAACCCAGATCTTAACTGAAATGGCCTCAAGATGGGTAAAGTTTCCAACTTTACCCCTAAGAACCACCAAAATGGGTTTAAAACCCAAACCCTAAACTTAAAAGGGTAAGGACTTAATCATTATGCACTTATTCCACAAGGACACAACTCCAAGATGCAGATCTGACCATATGAAGCTAGATGGCCATGTAAAGTTTCCAAATCTACACTTAATCATGATTAGAAGAAGCTCAAAAGCTTAAAAGAGACCAAAAGAAGGATTTAATGAATGCATGAAGCCCTTAAGACCATAAAGTTGGCACGTTTATGCCAAAAGAGCTCATGAAGATCATAGATCTGGAAAGGATAAACACTTGGTACTTCTACTTTCTCAACCTTCACCCATCTATGGCTAAAAGCATACAAATAAACCCAAGAAGAGATCTAAGCCAATACTAAGCAAGGTTAGAACTTTATATCCAAAATGTGCTGGAAATGGAGTAGAGAATCAAGATCTAAGAGCTCCTACAATATATATATATATATATATATATATATATATATATATATATATATATGCATATATCGGGGATGAAGGGACAAAATGAGGATATTTGGGGTTCAAATGCAACACACATACGGTGAAATGACACATTAGGCCTACAATGTATTACACATTTCCCCATTCAGTACCTTAACTTATTTTTGTGCTTTTTGAGGGAATAAAGTTGTTTTAGACTTGCTTTTTTAATCACTCCTACCTACTATAGCAAGTTTCATAGGCCACATAAGTATTTGAAGCTGATGTGGCTTCCTTTTCAATTCCAACTCACACCCACAAACTGAAATGGATTCCTTCTCAATTCCATATCACAAATTCAGCCATCAATCACCATAGGTTTAGCATCACCAAACTTACGTCTCTCTCCATCTTCTTGTATTTATTTCTTCGATCAACTAACTTCATGGGTTTGATCTTCGTTATCAAATACCAAAAAAATGTTCAAGCAGGTTTATAGTTAATGTCAAGATCTAGGATTCAAACCAATCATTCAAACTTTTGTGTGGTTCATATTTTGTTTTTGTATGAGACACGCTACTAATCGCTTCTATATATCCATATTCGATGTACACCTAATTCACAATTTCGAAATCCAAAACCAAATCCAAAATGAGAAACAAAGGTATTCTTATTTCTTTTTAGACTCTCCAATACTGTTCAAATACCATTTCAAAGTTCAAACCTAAAGCAACTAATTATAATACTCAAACAAATCAATGGAATTCAGAAGATTACAGAGAAACCTGGAAGATGGAGCTTGCACTGGGTTCTCCGGATATCTTCTTGACACCTCGTTGATCAACTATCATGCTTGCCTTTTCCATATTTTTATGAAATAAAGTATGCAAACCGTATTTTCATGTTAAAAGATCAATCACTGCTCAATCAGAGTTTCAAATGTGATTAAAAAGAATGAAAATCAGACTCGATTTTGGGAAGGAAAAATATGAACAAGAAATCAAGTAATCGGATCTGACAACACTAGCTGTGTGTGTAATACCGCGTTCTACTTTGCATTTTCCCTCAACAAAATCTTCACAAACGAAAATGTTGAACCAAATAGCCATTTTGCGCCAAATGATAATCTCCTAAACACCATAAATCTTCCAATTTCTTTTCTAGGGTTTATATGTTTATCACAACGATTCCTGACTTAGGCAACCTTGTAAGCACGTCTTCGCTTCCCTTTACTTGTTGTTCTAATAGTTCAAAACCAAGAGCCTTGGGAAACCGCGATTTGTGTGACCCAAAATAGGCTAAAGAATCAAAAACCTCGTTACCAGTCCAATATGAAACTAACATAGAGCGGTTTGCTAAGATCAATAAATCGGTGGAATTGAAGAGTTTGAATGATTATTTGAGCGATTGGGTTGCGAAGAATGTTGAGTTGGGTGTTCCTGAATCGGAATTGTTTTAGTCACCCTTGGAAATAACGACGTCGTTTATAGAGAGAGCCTAATCAATCTAGCATGAAAGATGGTTTAAGCAGAGGCAAAACATGTTCTTTCTCCCTCGTTGTCGTTGATTCCCCTTCTAATAGTCTTTTTAGACTTTTCAAAGTCAACAAGTGTCCATGTGGCAAAGGGGTAACCAGTTTACGCCTTCGTTTTGTCCAAAATGACTAATTAGATCCAACAAAAACAACTTTCTTACCTAATAAAGTACGAAAATAAGTTAAATGACTGAATAGACAAATATACAATACATTGTATTGTAGAAAAGATATAAAGGAGGGACCAAAAGTCTAAGAGTACCCTTCACTAATGTCCACGTGATATTTATGATTAGTTGCTTTTAGGTACTACCAACCTTTTAATAACAAGGCCCAAAATGGTGGTGTGTCTATTCTCCTCATTTGGTTGAATTAAGAGTAATCCTGAAAACATGGAAAAACTTGAAAAACAGATCATGCAAATCTGTTTCTCTATTGCTATCAACGGGCAGGGAAAAATAATGATTTTTTATTATCATATTAATTTGATTCTGATTTTAGTTTGAATTTCTCTTTTTACTTAAATTGTAAAGAACAATAACTTTCATATCAAATAAATTATTTATTTTGAAAATCTATTCATATACATGAATCAAACGAGTAAGAACAAAGTTTGTATACATTTTAAATTTAACGAATGAATAAATGAACAGATAAACGAACAAACTTTTTTATTTATATTCATTTGTTTATATTTGTTAAGATGCTAAACGAACATAAACAAACATATTTATATTTATTTGTTTATGTTTTTCAAAAATTTGTATAAAACAAGTTTAAAAAGTTATTAAAAAAAGTTTAAAAAGATTCTAAAAAGTTAAAAATAAGTAAAAAAAATATGAAGTGAAATAATAAAAATGTAAAAAAACTTGTAAATAATGTAAAAAAATCTATAAAAATTTTGTGTAAAAAAAATTAAAATAGTCTTAAAGTGTTGTAAAAAAATAAATTTGAACAAGAAAATACTTTTGGGATAATGTTGTAAAAAAACTAAAGCTTGGACCAAATTTGAAACAAAATTAAAAATTTTGGACGAAAATATAAATATTGAAATGACTTAATTCTTTTTTTAAATGACATCATTAAAAGCCCAACAACTAACAAGTAGTTAGACCAGTGCCAAGAAAATAAGGTTTAGAGTTACAAAATTACAAACAAAGAAAAAGAGAACAACACCGGTCGGTCCATTTACATGTATTGTTTTTTCCCATATGTTTATATCAAGTATACACCAATGAAATTATATCGCCGCCAACAACTATAATAGATGACTATAATACCATGATATAGAATTATCATTTCTCTCTTTCGATATTCCTAACAGGAGGCCCTAAAATATAGTTAGAGAGGATCTTGCATTTTTTTTGGGACAATTGCCGTATTATGCATCAAAGTTTAGATACTCAACCATTTTGTATATTGCTTTTGAGGGATTTCGCACATGTCAAAACCAGTATAGTAAAAATCCCGACTAGGACCTGATTAATCTCCGATTACTCCCTAGGTGATACTCGACTGACTAGAAGACGCTTAACGATTAATCATTGCCTTCAAAACGAGGGAAGCAGTGGCAAATGATGAAACTATAACACTTGAAGAAATTCTATTTCAATAGAAACTATTTGAAGAATAATTAGTGTTGTATTAATCATATTAACCTATTTTGTGATGATATTAGTGGTATTCACGAATTTTGTTATTATATTATTCATATTTAATTTTTTAAAATTCAACAAATTAGTTATCTAGGGTCACCATTTAATCTCTCGATTATTCACCGCCTAGCCGATTAATCCCTTAACCATAGTCTACCGACTAGCTAACTTCGAACGTTTTCTACAACTTTGGTCAAAACACATAAAATCAAAATGCATTATATTTTACACAATAAATTAGATTTATTGACAATTTAAAGACAATTTAAATGGAAAATAAGCAATGATCACCCTTAATATAAAAAAGGGTAGATTTTAATAATTTATCTAATTTAGGTAATTAAAAAATGTGCCTCCGTCCTTGCCCCAATATTGGATTTAAGTTTTGCAATTTAAATAATTATTCTGTTAAATTCTAAGAAAACTGATGTTACTACAATATGCTACCATCTAGTATGATATTTTAGCGAATAGCTACAAAATAATCTCTCTTTCCAAGGATTTTTTTCCCTAATAAATCTATCAATTCAGGCCGATTTCCGTTTACATCAATAAATATTGATTGTCAGGCTCATTAATCTTCTAAGTATTCTTTTAATATTTATCTTAAACAACATTTTTAACAACTAATATATCATTATATACTTGATAAATAACATAATGTTATATTATTATTATTATTATTATTATTATATATAACATAAAAACTTAAAAAGTTAGGGATAAGTATACTTTTTTTTCTTTCATCTTTTGCCACTTACCTTCTTTTTCTCTTTCATCTTTTGCCACTTAACTTCTCATTCTTACTTTAACACCACCATTTCTCTTTTCATCCCTATGACACCGTCTTCTTTAGCCAATCAAAATGTCACCGCCATTCACCTACGTCCTCTTCTTCAACAAAAAAAACCCCGATGTTACATTCTTCCACTTTCTCTGATACCACATGACTCCTCTGCTGCTTCTCGAGGGGTCGTCGTCTCCGGCGGAACTGGAATTCCAGTCCTCCTCCGGTTAGGTGGGCGTCTTCGTCTCCCAAGAACCGACAGAGCGAAGATGATGCTCTGCTTCAAAGACCGACTACAAGTCGAAGACTACACCATCTTCATGGGTCTTACAAATTCGAGAAGGATGCGGTTTTGTGCTCCGTTTTTATTGTTCCATTTCTTCCATGGCCGATGCTTCTTCTAATCTCCGCCGTATACTCTCTCAGCCGCTCCTTCTATTCTTCAAGGCAGGTATTTCATATGTGCTCTTAATTAGAATTGCTTTAACATCTTCAATAAACTCAATTTATATTTCCGGGACACTATTGGGTGTTGAAATCTTCAGCTATAACTCCAAGATCGTGTTCTCTTATTTCCATATTTAACTGTTTGTTTATCTACTTGTCTAAGCATTTACTCAATTTCATTCTTCTGATAGATTTTGTTATATCTTCCAAATGGAAAGTCTCAACAAAGTTATTGCTTTTCTGTCTCTGTGAGAAACCTGCCTATAAGGTATTCGATGAAATGCCTGACCCAATTAAGGTGCTCATTTCAGCTTATTTTACATGATTCTTTACTTGATTATGTTTGTTTGATCATCCGTTTTAAATAAGTTGTACTTATCCCATGTGGCTAATAGTTAGGAATCAACCTTCGCCCATGACTATACGTCCCTCATATTTTGAAGCATCAGTTCCCAACTGGAACCGGAGATATTTGGTGTGCAATATTGAAAGCTACGTGTAGTTGTTTTGATAGCTAAGGACGTATAAAGATATTTAAAGTCCGTTTGATTGCTAAGGACAGTACTTGATAGTTGCTATTTGATAGGTTTTTTTTTTTAAAATATCTTTAACAAACTTTAAATCTGTTTTTTATAGGTAAATCAAGGGATTACTATTTACGGAAATAAACGGAGCTCGGACTAGCATGTGTAGGTTTCAAGAAATTAGTTTATTCCATCTTTGTAATTGTTTATATTAATTAATAATTTCACTTATAATTCATATTTCTTAATAGATATATACAAAAACTGAGAGAGGGGTGTCTTGTGGCTATCTGTTTGGAATGAGAACGAATGTTACAGGTATAAGAAAACCACTTGCTTCAGTTCCATTCCAATCCTTCAAAGTTTCCAATCATTTCAATTTGTTGTCAATAATTTATGAAAACACATATCAGATTACATTTTTTTGTATGAATTTCAGTTGGAATCATTGATATGGAGTGTGAGCTGATTGATCCTGATAATCTATCAAATTAGATAAGAACACTAAAGTCAATTAATGTTGATGAAGTTATGGTTGATACATGTTGGGGAATTGTAGAAGCCAACACTACCAATTGATTATCTTAGAATTTATCTTGTTTCTTTTGACCTGTGTCATGCATGTAGATCCCCACCTCTTTTGGTTTTTTTTTTTGGTTCGGGAGGTGAATGTATGTTTTTTCATCAAAAAAATAAAATTTTATCAACATTTACGCAATGGTGATCCAACCCAGCGCCAAGGGCGCCACTAATTCCCTCTAGTTATTATCAAACACTGGGAATATAGTGTTTAGAAACAGTGAAAGTTGGTATACGTCCATAAAACACACACATAAAATATTTTCATATGCCACCACAATCATGACTTGACATAACCCACCTTATCATCAAATCTTCTATGAATGCACATGCATTAAAATGTGTTGTAAATAAGTTATATGAATTATATATTTTTAATTTAGTATTTAAATTATTAATAAGGCCCTTCAAAGTTGAAACATCCTATTGGTGTAGGATGAACAGAACGTAGTAATTTAGGATGCCATGTCACGATGACTCATTAGATAAGAGGAGGATGGTCATGTCAAACCCTATAAGATCTCAAAACATGCTAATAAAGATTTTTTTGGAACCAATAAATTTTATTAAGAAAATTTAATACATTAATTTATTTTAATAATACGGAAAGAAATATGAAACTTGTCTTTGAGTCATATTTAGAGGTCGTTTAATAGTTGCTAACTGGGTTAAAATTTGATTGGGTTAGAAGCTGACTGAGTTAGAAGTTTTGACTGAGTTAATTTCTGACTGAAACTTGTTGTTTGCTTTTGCATCTGATTGACCATGTAAAAAGATTATATTACCCTCAATTTTTTTATAATAATTCATTGGGTTAATGGCTAAGGTGAAACAATTCAACATTTAGAACCATACAGATAACATTATTGTACCCAAAATACCATTGCTCATCAAAACAACAACAAAACGAACAAACATACATGATTTTTATGCCCAAAATACCCCTGCTTCAAGGTTTCATTAAAACTTTATAAAACTTTAACTAGTATGGAGTATTTCACAAAAGTTAACTAGAACAACACCAAAAAAATATCAACCTTCAAACACAACACAACCCTGCTAAATCAAGTCTATGTTCAAAACAAACGTAATCCATATTTCCACATTACTCATTCAATAATCCAAAAATTAACAAAATGCACACTAGTTCTCATGAAAGATTAAAGTTTTACATTTATAACCATACACATACCAATTAGTGTTAGATGTGAAGAGCATTGCCATCAATCTGATGAGCAGATTCCTCGAGTAAAACTTACAATAACAACTTAAATTACAGGAAATTTTCCATAGATGACCCATACTCAACAAGCAATTCACTTGATACAGTTACAGGGAAACATATGTAAGCAGTGGATACCATAAGAAAATGAACGACTGGCTCAATTAGAAGAAAATGTCAAAATATGAATTTTCCAAGAACATAAATGGTAATTTTTGATTTTCAGTTTCGAGAAAACAATGAATAAACAAATTCATAACTATTTTGAAAAAGAAAAAACGCAACAACTAGCTAATCTGATTCTTTATCACAGGAGTAATAGACCCTACCATCGAAGTTGCAGGGACGATCGACACCAGAGGAGGAAAGCATTAGCGGATGGGTGGTGGCAAACTGTGAGGAAGGAAACGATGGTGCAACTCGTTCACCAGGGACGATGGAGGCATAAGCGATTGGGGTTAAAATCGGAACAACTCTCAACTGGAAGGAGACGAAGCTCAGGGGGGCAGCGCTGGAAGGGGATGATGAAGTCACGGGGAGGAAGAGGGAGGAGGGACACAGATCATGTCGCACCTAGAAGAGAACAGACGATAAGTCTCCGGTTGCGAGGTCGGAGGAAGATGGCAGGCTTTGGGTGGTCGTCGGTTGCAGGGAGAGCAGGGGAGAGGGATCGCTTTTCTTCTTTCTGGAATTGAAGCGTCTTCAGTAGGTCAAAACTGGAATTGAAGGCGTTGATAATCTTTTGTCCCGGTCCTTCTCATTTGAAGAGGGGACCGAATCAGTGAATTATGATGGACCGAGTCCATGACTTTAAAAACGATATCAAATATGCTGAACTATGTTTTTTTGGACCCGGTCCCCTTTTGGACTCGGGTAGAAGCTAAATAAAATTAAAGATAGTGTAGGAATATATTATATTTATTGTTCCAACTAATAATTTTTCTTCGATATAATAAATAATTATTTTTAATATATAAACTTGTCCTTGAAGCATAACAAAATATCAACTAATCTTTGTTTTGTTATTATATTTCACCGATACAAAACTGCAAATTGGTCATACATAGTCGGAATTGAACGGCTACACATTTGAATATTTATGTGGCTAAAGATACCAAAATAAATTTCATGTTATTAGTTAGCCACATATGAACTCCGATCGTACGACCATTCAGAAATATATTGCAACACCTTCGAACATTTATGTGGCTAAAGGCCACTGCTAATTTTTGGCTGATTATTTAGCCACATATAAATTTGGAACACGTGACAAATGAAGAGTAAGTTCAAAGCATTAGTTACGATATACATATAAAACATGAAAAATCTATGTCACACACTTGAACACTATTACTAAATGTCATATATGGTCACCTGAAGTAATTGTTTATGCGTCAAAATCGTAGAGTCGAGTTTGTCACGCATGATTTAAGTGTAGAAAAATCCGGTAAATATCGTCACATAACTTATAAGATTTATGATGACATGTCACTATTAGTGTTTTATGATGACAGTTTGAATGTTGAAAAGTGAAAACATATAAGATTTGGAGGGAGCTCAAATTTTTTTTCCAAATTTACTAAAATTTCATCTTTTCACTCTTTACTAAAATTTTAATATTTTTTTTTCCCTCTTTAACAAAAATTGAATAATTTGTTTCCCTCTTTTTAAATTTTTTAACCTAATGGCCCTTTTATTCCATCTCTTTCTCTTTACGCCTTGCTTCTCCGACCCCTTAGATGCCCCCCCCCCCTTTTCGACCACCACATGCGATTACAAACCCTTAATCCAAGATTCGTCTCTTCCTGCTTCTCTACTTCATTATCTTACACATCTTTCTCTTCGTGTTTTCAATTGTAGGTAAACAAAGGGTTTGTGCCCCCATCATTCACATTTAAAGATCAAGACGGAAAAACTGTGAGCCGCTTGAAATTCAAAGGCAAGCCAATTGTGGTCTACTTCTACCCTGCTGATGAAACCCCTGGTTGCACTAAACAAAATAGGTGTTTGGGTGCTCCAATTTCGATAACCCATCAATAGATTTCATGTGACGGAATGGCAAATGCTGACCTCGAAGCAAATCTCTTGTAGAATATGACACATGAGATGGAAGTATTTATACAATTAGTGTGATACGTAAAGCTAGTGGGAGGGGTAAAAGAAGGAAAGTTGGAGGACTAACTACCCTTCACCATTAATTTCTGATGACGTCTCAAACTACGCCAAGAAACTTGTAAAGGTATCATCTTTTCTTTTACTTATCTTCCCATATGTTCACCATTAATTTCAAATCTTGTGATTAGTCCTATTACCAACTTGTAACGTCCAATTTTCACAACCAAAATTTTCATTTAATTAAGGTAAAACTCCAATTTATAAATCCATTATTTAAGAAAACAATTTATTCCAAATTACATTCATTAAAAATTATAGTATCATATAAAACGCGGAATCTTCAATGTTGCTGATGAGTGTGTACAGTCCCACCTTCGCCTTCCCACAATCACCGATGACACCTGAAACCATAAGCAATTGGGTAAGCATAAAGCTTAGTGAGTTTTTCCAAAATACCACCACATACACATAACAAACTACATCATGCATACAGAGCCTTCAGCCTGACTGGAACGCCGCACCGGCCTACAAACTATCTGGATCGCTCACAGAACCTCAGCATGGCTGGTCCGCCTCACCGGGACTTCATCCTATCTGAACCGTTTTCTGGAATACCAGGGTTTATTTACCGCATCAACCCAAACGCACATCCCGAGCCTCTATGCCTTTGACTTACAGTCGACCCGCACAGGGTATCTTGGCCAACAACACAAAGCAGGACCGCCTCAACCCACCACCACCATATGTCAACATATAAACAAACAAGGATGAAGCAGGCACATAAAACATGCAAACATCAATCATATAGCTCACTCTCACATAATAGTCCTCTCACAGCATACAGTCCCACTACCAGCTAACCTCCGCAAAGTGCGTAACCATAAGTAGCTAGATGTGAGATAGCCACCCGGACAGATGATCCTACTCTAGAGCCACAACCAAACAAGGAACATGCAAGAGAGCTTAGACCCAGAGTTCTCAGGCTAGCCTACATAACCACAAACAGTCCCTAGGGCACTCCACCAGATGATAACCAGTAATTACAAATAGCATACAGATCCAACAGCGCACTATAGCATAGCAACATCCTACATACCGGGATACCGATCTAACAGATCGCTAGAGCATAACAATATACTCAATACCAGAATACATATCTAGTAGATCACTACATCATAGCAACATACTCGACACCCGAATACAGATCTAACAGATCACCCCAGTCTATCGGCATACTCGATACCAGAATATAGATCTAACCGATCAATACAGCACAAACGACATACTAAGTAGTAACAATCTAAGAAATGCCTGACCGTGTATAATCAGAGGTGAGATAGCCACCCAGACAGATGATCCTACCCTAGAACCACAACCAAACAAGGAACAGGTAAGAGGGCCTAGATCAAGAGTTGTCAGTCTATCCTACGTGACTATATACATTCCCTAAGACATCCCTCTACTAATAGATAACTGAAAACTAGAGTGCCGCCATTGGTGCCTTCAACCAACAGAACAATGAGACGAAACTCACCTGAAATGAAGAAACCCGAGAATACCGCGATCCGTTCCCTGGTAC